TCTGCGAGCGCGCGGCTGCTCGCCGGCGGGGCAGGTGGCTGGTGGCTGCACCCAAGCACGCACGGCGGGAAGGCCGGCGGCTTGGGTTGGGCGCGCGCCAGGTGCGTAAGCACCGGCGGCGCCCGCTGCGGCCCCTCATGGGCTCTCACGCCTGGCGCTCTCGGCGCCGGCGGCAGCTCTGCTGGGGGCGCTGTCCTTCGCCGGGTTGGTCAACGAGGAGGTGTCCCTGGCCAACTGGCCGGAGATGCCCTTCATCGGCTCGTGCGACTCCCACAGGTAGCCGTGGAACGCGTCCGACTGCCAGCGCCCGAACCGGCGCACTCGGGAGAGATCCTCGGTCACGTGGTACATTGCAGTCGCCCCGCCGATCCTCAGGGAGTGGCTGCCGATCTCCTCTCTGGAGAGGCCGGCGGCCAGCCCCGCGACCGTCAGGAAGTGCTGCGCCTCTGCCCTGCGGATTGGTGTACCTGACGCCCAGCGGAAAAGGGGCAGCCGTTCTTCGGTGCCTTTTATCCGCTGAGGATGGTGAGCCTGGAGCCGCTCCATCGCCGCGATCGGGCAGAGCGACGTGCCGGCGCGGTAGTGGTTCCTCACCGTCCCGACGTTGAGCTGGTCCGTCTTGCTGCCCTTGATGTAGATCACCATCTCGTCGGCGTCCTGGAAGCTGGCCACTCGCTTCCCCTCCTTCTTGGGCTCTGCGTCCTCCCCGTGCAGCACGCGCTCGAAGGACCACGAGCGCCCGTCCTGGAGGAGGTGCTCTGAGGCCCTCAGGAGGAAGAAAAACGCTGTCACAATAGCCGCCCAGATGACCACTGCATCCTCCTCGGGGAGCTTGGCCTCCTGCTGGAGAAAGCCGCGGGGCCATTCGAGCATGGCTGGCGTGACGGGCTTCTTCCGCTTGGCCTCGGGCCCCTGCCGGCGTTTCAGCCCTGCCAGCGTGCTCCAGAGGCGGCCTCTGTGGAGCAAGGTGTCCGAGTAGCCGTCCGCCAGGTGGGCGTAGCGCACCGCGAAGAGCTTCTGCTTGATGGTCCCCTCGGTCCTCCCGACGACCCGCGCTAGGAGGACGGCGAAGTTGATGAGCGCTTCCTCGTCGGCCAGGCGTTCCTCGCGATCACGTCCTGGGAGCCAGGGGCTAAGCCCTTGCGCCTGGCGCACGGCCACCCAGAGCCGCCATCCTCCCTCGTAACCTGCCCTTGTGCCTTCGCTGAGTTTCTGCAGCGTGGCCTCCGTCTTCTGCTGCGCGAACCAGCCGGCGTAGTTGGCCCCGCCAGGCTCAGCACGGCCGGCGGGGGCGAGCTCCTTCCCGGGGTAGTTGTTCTTCCGAGCTACGCCCAGCGCTTGCGGCCTCGCCAAGTTGGTTGCTGGCATCTCTTTGGCACGCCGAGGGCTCTTTTTGCGAGGGCTCTTCGAGCGAGTTACACCTTTGTCTAGCTTGACCTTCTCGGCGGCTGGGGCCTCGCGGGGTCCGATGAGCGTGTCCTCGTCGATCATCTTGAAGCGGACTGCCTGGGCACGCCGGCGATTCTTGTGCATCTCGTCGGTGAGCGCTCCTCCGGCCCTCGCCTCGTCCTCTGCTGCCAGCGCCAGGGCGGGCTGATCTGGTGCCTGTGCCCAGGCGCGGAACCAGCGCTTGGTGGCCTCCCACGCAGCCTGCTCCTCTGGATCATGGCATGCCCCGGCACGCTGCGTGCTGGTGTTGTCGAGCGCCTCTGTCACTGCGGTCAGCACTGCCTCCGCGGTCCTCGGCGGGAGCGCCCTGGCTGCGCCTTTCAGGAGTTCGTCCTCGGTGGAGTCCTGGGTTCGCAGGTGGGTCCACTCGTCGTTGGTCCCTCCCTGCACTCGCCAAACCTCTTGGGGTGTCAGGGCGCGGATCGTGCCCCCGCCCCCTCCGGTGACGCGGAGGAGCGTCGCCCCGGGTCCTTGGAGTTCCGCCCCAGGCCAGCGGATGGTGCCCACCGGCCCCTCCTCACTGTAGATCAGGTGCTTCACTCCATCCTTCTTGAGGTGCCCGACCGGCTTGAGGAGGAGGGGGTCGCTGGTGGATTGGATGCGGGGGTCCCATGGCACTTCGCCCTGTTGGTCGAGCCACAGGTGGTCTTTTCCCTTGTCCAGGAGAGGCTCGACGCTGGCAGCTCGGGAGCAGGCCGGCGGCATGTTAATGCGCGCCGGGCCCACTCCCGCTTTCCGACGCCCGCCCACGAGCGCCCGCCTGGTCCGCGTCGTGGCGTCCCCGCGGTGCGTGCAGACCACCTCGAACTTCGAGACCATGTAGCCCAGCTGCTTGAGTGCCTTCTCGAACCTGGCTGTGTCTACCCCGGTCGGGGCGTCCACGACCACCACTTTAGGGCTCTCTTGAGTTGCTGCAACGAGGAAAGCCTCCATCTCTCGGCCCTTGGGGTCCAGGGACAGCGACGCCATGAGCCATCCCGCCTTCTGGTTCTCCTCGGGCTCCGATCCCCCGAGGCGCTTGAAGGCCTTCGTGTACGGGTTGATGAGACTC